GCACTTTCTTCTTCTTTTTTTTGCCCCCTGCCCCCAACTCCTTCTCCTCTCCAGGCTGTATTTTAGTCATGAATCTTCTATCCCATCAGATCTAGAAAACAGAACATGGATTGGTTTGGACTACACATGAAAAGGCATTTAAACCACAAGAGGACTATGTTCAGTTTCAGACTTCCTAATCTTAATTATTTCGTTTCCCCTTCCCTTGTTTTTCTTGTTTTTAACCTCACTCAGATGAAGAGAATGAGATGAAAAGAGCATCCCCTGAGCCCGAACTGCATCTTAGGTCTTACCAAATGGAAGCTGCTAAACCAGCCTTAGAAGGGAAGAATATCATCATATGCCTCCCTACAGGGAGTGGGAAAACCAGAGTGGCTGTGTATATTGCCAAGGATCACTTGGACAAGAAGAAAAAAGATTCTGAACCTGGAAAAGTTATAGTCCTTGTCAATAAGGTATTCAAATGATACAACATAACTTATTTATTCACTTCTATTTTTTTTATCTGAAACATTTGTATAACAATATTTGTAACAATAGATCACACGGGTTTAGTTTAGTTAGAAGTAATGTCAATTGTGAAGGAGACCTGGTGGCGCAATGCTGTTTAACGAAAAGGTTGACGGTTTTGAACCCACCAGCTGCTCTGTGGGAGAAAAGACCTGGAGATCTGCTCTTGTAAAGATTTCAGCCTAGGAAACCCTGTGGGGGCAGTTCTTCTCTGTCCTTTGGGGTTGCTATGAGTTGGAATTGACTCGATGGCTCACAACAACAGTGTCAATATAAGTCATTCGTTTTATTTTTACTCTTTGCTTTTCTAAGTTATCAGCCTTTAAAATGGAATTTTTCCATAAAACCAGAAAGGTAAATCAAATGACTGTAACTTATATATAAAGAGTATATTCACCCATATATTCTTTAAGGTTAACTGGTAGTAATTTGTTATCGTTACTTGTGACATGAATGTTCCCAAAATATCACTGGCGTCTGGAATCATATAGTCACATATTGTCTTCTAGAGTCTCTTTATCTGTTGACCTTTAAGTCAAAGGCAGCCAAGTCCTCTTTATCCAGAATATAGTTTGGTTTGAAAATAAAGAGATAATTCATTCTCTGAACAGTTAACACTGTTAAAAGCTCTACATTTATTCATCAAAATCTCTTTCTCTGGAATTCCCACACTTTCGTTATAGTTCTTTCCTCTATAACTATACAGAGTCAGTCTTAATTCTCTTGTATGACAGCCCTTCACATGGAGAAGGAGCATCATGTGGCTCATAAGTTATTTTTCTTTTGTTCTTCATATTGCTCTTCATATTGCATGGTTTCCAGACCTTTCATCACGCTGAGTACTTACTCTCTTCCAGACATTTATCTAAGACCCGCTTACAATGTGGTGTCCAAAGCAAGACAAAACACCGTAGACATAGTCTGACCCTGTGCAGAGTATAGAAGAAATGAGCTGTGACACTCAGCCCACAACTGAATTTGCCCGTGGCACCCCAGCACTGCCGTCCCATGGGCTCAGCTGGAGCTTGCCATGAACTAAAAAGTCTCAGCTCCTTTTGATTTGAAAACATGCTAAGCTAGAACTTTCCTAACCAATATTTGTGCAGCTAATTTTTGAGTCTAAGTGCAAATACATATATTTATTCTTATCATTCATATTTTTTATAATTCACACTCTTATGTTTTTATATGTGTCTAATGCACTTTCTTCTTCTTTTTTTTGCCCCCTGCCCCCAACTCCTTCTCCT